GAAAAATTGGGGTTAATTACCGAATTTGACATGAAATCTAACATGATGTTTCTATTATACCTGCACACTATCATTAACTCATGTTTTTCTATCAGGGTGAAAGATGAAAGTTGGCTTTGCGTTTTCGGCATGACCATTTAAATTTTACAGGTTTAAAAGCTTTACAACAAAAGATTATAGTGACAAGTATCCCACAAATCCAGATTCCTTCTCAAGTATGTGAAGAATGTGTCATTCGTAAACATCATCAAGAGCCACTTCAAAAAGGAAAATCGTGGCGAGTGAGAAAAGCATTGGAACTTGTACACTCAGATTTATGTGGACTAATCAATCCCATGTCAAATGGACGTAAATGATATTTTACATCATTCATTGATAACTTTAATAGAAAAGCTTGGGTTTAGTTTTTACATGAAAAATCTCAAGCTCACATAGCTTTTAAAAGTTTCAAAGCTCTAGTTGAAAAGGAAGCATGTACTCCGATAAAGGTGTTGCGTAGTGATCATGGTGGAGAATACAATTCCGATGATTTTGTTACTTTCTGTGATGAGAAAGGGATAGAGAAGCAACTAATACCAACATACATGCCTCAACAAAATGGCATTTGAAAAAGGAAGAACCGCATAATTTGAATATGGTATGACTTCTGTTGGCAATGAGTGGAGTTCTAAAAGCTTTCTAGCCTGAAGTTGTTAATTGGAGTGTTCATTTATTGAACAGAAGCCCAACTATAGTTGTTCAAAATATCACACCACAAGAAGCTTGGAGTGGATGTAGACCAACTATAGATTACTTCACAAGAGGAAAAGCTTGATGAAAAAGGTGAAAAGTGTATTTTTCTTGGTGTTAGTGAACAATCAAAAGTATAAAAATTGTACAATTCTATTACCAAGAAAATTGATATTAATTATTTATCCAAAAAATTGATATTATTTGTGATGTAGTTTTTGATGAGGATCAATTTTAGAATTAGGATGTAGGTATTGGTGAATAATTAATACACAACGACTTTGATGGAGAAAATCAAAATGAATGGCAACAGCTAATGGAACACGCGTAAAATGAACAAAAAGTAGACGAACCAACAAATGAACGTCTGAACGTATCAAGAGGAGACCTACATGGATGGAGAAGTTTGTAGTATAAGTTATCGATGAAGAACGACTCAATCATTTTGCTCTTTTTTCAGATTGTGATCCTGTAACTTTTGAAGAGAATGTTAAAGAACTCAAATGGAGAAGAGGAATGGATGAAGTAATGCTAGCCATAAAACATAACAACACTTGGGGTTTGAAAGATCTTCCAAAAAGGTTAAAACAATCAGTTTAAAGTGGGCTTGATCATAAGCAAATGTGGTGTAATCTCCATTATATATATATATCATTATTCTTTTATTTATTACAAACATGCTCCAATCAAAACCTGAACCAGGCCCCAAACTAAAACCCAAACAGGGCCCAATCAAAACCCTGTTAAAACACCCAAACAGAACCTGACCCGGGCCCAAACCAAACCCGACTGGGACCCCAATTGGAGCCTAACCTAAACCTAACCCTAGCCCTAGTGTAGCCCCCCAAATACTACCTCAGCCGTTGTTGATCTCTGCCCCAAAACGAGGAAGGTTGCTGCTCCAGCACACCACCACCAAGCTTCCAGCACTCCACGCAACATGCAACAGACAACAAACAAAAAACGAGAATGTAATCATTTCCTTTATCTGTAAGAGTGGGTATAAAACCCAAAAACAAATAGTGTACAGGCGATCTCTAGTTCTTGTGTTATCCAAAAGCAAGAAAAAAGAAAAGTTTCAAGGTATTATTATTTTTTCTGTTTTTTTATTTTTCGAATAAAAAAACTTTTTTTAGTTTCAAACAACAGGAAAGGAGGGGAAAATCTTTTTAGTTTCGGTCAACAACGAAAAAACCTTTTTTTAGTTTCGAAAAAATAGCAAGCAACCAAAGCATCTTACAGTAAAGAAAAAAAGAGAGGAGAGTGAGCGGTTACCTGGGGGAGATGAACAATTCATCTCCACGGTAACCGGAGTTTAGGAAGCCAAGGAGTCGGGGGCTTTTTCCTCGGGTTTAGAGGCGGTTTTCGGTAGTTTTTAGCCCCAAATCGGGGTCTAGGTTAGTATATATGGAGATTTAGGTTGTTCTAGGCTAGTTTGGGGTTTTTCAACCACCGTGTGTGACGAACAGAGCAGTGGACGGAGTGACGATCGGAGCTGGGCCGGTCGAGGGAGAGATGAGAGAGGAAAGAGGATTTTTTTGGTTTTTTTCTATTTTCGGTTTAAAATAAAAAAAAAGAAAGAAAAATAACATATATAGGAAAAGTTTAGGGTAAAATCACGCATAGGTCCCCCTAGGTTTATCTTGTTTTTACATTTTGGTCACCTATAGGGACCAAACCTGGTATTTCTCCTTTTCCATGTATGTTGTGTAATTTTTGGTTTATTCATTGTTTAATCCCTCTAAGTTTAGCATGTTTTTACGTTCTGGTCATTTGTGAGGACTGAAATTGTTATTTCCCTTTTCTTTGCATGTTATTTATTTATTGGGTTATTCACTATTTAGTCCCTCTAAGTTTAGTTTGTTTTTACATTTTGGTCATATGTAGTGACTGTTTAAATTTTATTTTAATTTGGCTGGATTAATTTTGTAATTTTGTAATTTTCGTTTAATAATACATTTTAGGTTTAAAAATCGGTTAATTAGCTTTTAGTCCCTATAACTTCCACGTGTTTTTTTTGCATTTTAGCCACTAACTTTTTTTTTTCTTTTGTTTAGATTTAGTCATTAAATTTTAATTTGCTTTAATTTAGCCCTTATTACATGTTTAATTTATTCTTTTAATCCTTGTAATTTAATATTCATGCAATTTAACCCTTGTATTTATTTTTATTTCATTTTTTTTGATGTTTTTGTGTTTGTTTTTATTTTAATTTATTTAATTGGGTTTATTATTATATTTAGTATTTCATAGTTCTTAGTTAACTAGTCTTTTAGATTTCGTCCTTAGATTAGGTTGGTAAACCAAACCAAATCAGATCTAGTAATTAGGATGTCACCTTAGTTTTAATTAGAGAGCAATTCGAGCCGAGTTTTCGCATAAGATGCCTGATTACTCGAGTCTATTGCTCGAACTTTAAATTTGTTAATCATCGACTAATTTTCTAAAACTCTTTTAATTTAATCCCTCAATTTCTAATAGGTTAATTTAGATAATTATTAGAACTTTGATTTGTTGATTAGTCCTTAAATTTTAGGAGTTATTGATTTAGGCCCTTGAGCTTTTAGTCTTTTAGAACTCTGTATTTTAGATCTTTTAGAACTCTGTATTTTAGATCTTTTACCCTTTATTCCCCTTAACTTCAATTAGACTTTTAAATTAACATAATCAAATATGTTAAATAGAGCCTCCACTTTTAGCTAGATTTCAATATAGTCCTCTTAATTTAGGGAATAATTCGAGTCGGCCCTAGCCTAAAAGACCAAGGGACCATCTCGATTATTCGATTCAATAATTGATTAAAATCAAATAGGGTTAATATTAAAACCTACATTTATATGTTTGTGCCTTTAGGTTCTTTAATTCTCATAATTTGACACTATAAGATAGAGAGAACCTTAATTTACCCTTAGCTTAATTAGGATTAATAAAAAATTTATTTGATTGCATCTTATTTTAAAACCTAAGGTAATATCCACTTATTAGGGAATCAATAGTATATCTCCCACAAGTATGCAGGGAATAGGCCGACATCCTTTTCAAAACCGCATCATGATTTCTAAAATACCGAGGCAATGTTCAGTTATTGGGCACAATAGCTGATCTCCCGCATTCATGCTAGGGGCGAATGTTATTGGCTTTAATAAACAAATACCCTTTTCAACTTTGCACCGATGATGATTTTTAAATTAGATAAAGTTTTAACTCAAAATTTTTGATTCTAAATATAGGGTAATTAACTAGGTACCAATTTTTGGGCCTTGTGGGGGTGCTAATCCTTCCATATGTGTAACCGACTCCCGAAACTTGATTTCAGGAATTTCACAGACCCTAAAACTTATTATTTTGATAAAAATAAAATATTTTATTAAAATCACCCGACTTTTATGGTGTCCCAATCGCACCTTAAATGATTGGTGGCGACTCCTCACATTTCAAAACCTTTTTAAAGAAAACCCCCAAGTCGGTACGAGGTCTTTCCCTGCTCGGGCGAAAAACAGTGTTGATAGCTTGGCGACTCTGCTGGGGATATTTTGTTTTTAAAAACCAACTTGAGAGTCGAGTCACGAGTTGGTTACCCTATATTCAACATTATGGAAATAATGAGTTCGGTCTTATTTAATTTGCGGTTCGTTATGTTGTTTCAAATAAAAAAAGATTTTCTCTCTGGTTAATGCTTACATTTCTGTGAAATTATTTAGGCCTGTTGCACACCATATCTCTAACCCCGAGCTCAATCCCGATTTATCTAAGTAGGGAGAAATGTCACACCTCATGAGGAACATTGGGCTTCCTTGTGTGGGTCTGATAAAGTATCTCTGGAAAGCATCTTAAGTTGCCTATCTGGATATCAGATCCGAAATACGATTTTAGTGGTGTGATCCCCTGAGTCGAATTTGATTCGCAAGTCTGTAATGGTCCAGAATCGAGGTCAACCCTAGCAGGTTGTATTGATGTCTCGGGAACCTTTTCTAGAACCCAGCCTCATGCAGATAATTTAGTAAGCATACCCCGCTAGAGCCATGTAGATAACCTAGGAGAACTAGAACGCATATGGTTAGGATTTTAATTTTCTTTGGTGTGTTTTATGTCAGAATTCTTTAAATTTTTATACCCGCATTAATTATTCTTTGAATTATTTGAATTAATCAAATTTTTCTGACCCATCTCTTTGTTTCTTGATTGCATGTATCATTTTCATTTCATAACATTACATAGAAGATATTGATTCTCGAATCATCTGGTTACTGTGAAAAGGACTTAAGGAAGCAATGTCTTCCGATAGGAGCAAGAATGCAATAAATGTTCAGACGTGGTTAAAGTATGGGCAAGCACGGTTTGGGGACAATAATGCATCTGGCGAAGAATCTGTGTTGCCAGAAAATGTTATTATTAGTGTCAAGCAAGCGCATTGGTCCGAGTTATCAAGCAAGCGGATGTGGGTTCAATGTTAAATGGGATTGATTGTAATTTGTATAGAACACTACATCATTGTTCTCTTGGAATCTGTTTCTGTTATGTAGAAGAAATTATGTTGCTGATTCGTGTGACTAATTTTTGTCTTTCTTTCTTCTTACCAGAAATGATGTTGATAATTCTGGCAAAAGCACTGCCATTACTTCTGCTTGGGAACCCTTTTCTGAAAGGTTCTCTCTCCCTCCCCCCTTCCTCCTCTCTTTATTATGCATCTTCAGGCTCATTAATAATTCTGGGAGTCGTGTTACCATGTGATTGTTATTCCGCCATGATACATTTCTTTTCCATGGTGTTTTGTTTTTTCATTGGTTACCTGCTGTCAAATGTAAAAAATCATCTCTCACACAGTTAGGTCTATAATTCGTTTGTATCTTTAATTGACCTTTGTTTAGGCATAACAAGCTTTTTACGTGAATGTGCTGAAGCATGTTTTCACATTTGAATATAGAAGTATTTATGTGGTTATATGATCTATTTGTGGATTGCAACATGGCGTGCCACTCTTATCCTTCAAATATAGGACATTTACAGCTTGAAGATTTATGGTTTCCTTCATGCGACAGGCTGACAACCTCTGCTATAATAGAAAGAATCCCAAGCAAATGGCCACGCCCCGTGTGGCATCGTCCATGGAAGAACTACAGGGTGAGAATCTCTGTCTCTGCATCATGGTAGTTGATAGAAATATCAATGGAGTTTGTTGCTGATTTTTTGGTCACGTGTGAAATATTGTTTTCTTCTCTAATTCATTTCTCCTTGGGGGCACATGCTGATTGCGTGTCTTATTCTTTTGATAAACATGTTTATAACTAAAGCTACATCGAGAATATTACTCACTAATTTTTCTTTGTATAATGCCAGTCGATTTCATTTGTTGTTTCTTGTTGAACCTCTTTCATCGCTGATTCTGTGTATTTCAGTTCCTGTAGATTTCTCGACATGTTTAAATGATTAATCAGGTCATCAGTGGACATTTGGGATGGGTGAGATCTGTTGCCTTTGATCCAAGTAACAAATGTTTCTGTACTGGGTCTGCGGACCGTACAATCAAGGTATATAATTGTGTAGTTGGTAGTTATCTATTTTTTTCTCAATCTCTCATTGTTTCTCCTCTGCTTTAATGTGAGTCTATAAAACAGATATTCATTTGAAAATCCAGTCGTTACTTTTTGAAAATGACTTCCGCCTCTTCCTTGACTTGATTTCGGCATGTTAGATATGGGATGTAGCAAGTGGGAGGCTGAAGCTCACACTGACTGGACACATTGAACAGATACGAGGTTTGTTTTAAGAATTTTTCTCGGGTGTGAATAGTTTTTATGGGCCAACCATACTGTGGGTGATGAATATCAATCATGGATTCAGAATCATTTGAAATCTATATTTTATTCACAGGCCTTGCTGTCAGTAGCAAACACACCTATATGTTCTCCGCTGGTGATGACAAGCAAGTAAAATGCTGGGATCTTGGGCAGAACAAGGTTAGAACTGCATAAACTTATTATTTTGGATCCGTAAACGAGTAAGAAATTAGAATGATTTTATCTGTTGTTGAAATCATTTTGTTATAGAAACTTTTAAATTGCTGTATAGGTTATCTGGTCCTACTAAGTGGTGTTTATTACTTGGCTCTTCATCCCACAATCGATATATTGCTAACTGGGGGACGTGATTCAGTCTGCCGGGTATGAAAATTTCAACACGTAGAAAACCCTCATAAATTTTGTTTTAATACAATAATTTCTGGTAAAAACATAGATCTGGTAAGATGGTGTCCGATCAACTTAAATATTTTTTAAAATGATCGGTGGTAACTCTAACGTGTTTTATTTAAGTCGAAGCCCAATACCGAGCCGACCCGAAAGACGGTTTCGACACCTAGGAGACAAGCGCAACCAAGGCAAGAAGAATATTAGGAAGACAATGAAGAAGATGAATAAGTTGATCCAGGATCAAAAGATTTAAGAAGGAACAATGTATGTTTTTTACTTTGATGATAATATTAACAATATACGAGTCGCCATTCCTTCATTCCAAGAGAAAACCAATTATGAAGCATACTTGGATTGAGAAGAAAAAGTGGATCATGTATTGTTCGAGTGTCATAACTATTCTGAGCATAATAAGGTTCCTTAGCTAAAGATGAGCTATCCTTTGATGTCCTTGGGCTATCATGATCTGTCATAGGATGAGTCCTTGGTCTATGAGCTTCCAAAGCCTTCCTTATCATCCAATAGCCTATGTGTAGCAAGAAAACAATGGAATAAGTGATGATAACTCTAAGGATGCAATGAATGAATGTTGTCGCCTATAGTATGCATGCAAATGAACTAATTAATATAACATAAACATATAATAAGCTAGGTAAAGATGTGGGAACATATGATATGCTATGCAAAGTATATGATGAACATAGTATAGGAACTATGGCATGATATAATTGAGCCTATCATAAGATGCATATAGTAAGTTAAGTATATGATATGATAATGTATAAAATGTATGACATAGTGAAGTATGATCATGGCATATGCAATATGACATAAACTATGCATAAAATAATCAAATGATATGTAATTAAAAAGATATGAAAAGTAAGAAAATTCTCCCTGATTTTTCATCCTTGTAACACAAGATTAAAGTAAGTAGAAAATAAGTAAGTGCATGAGCAAGATCACATCACTTCATCTTCATCATTCTTTTAAATATCCATTTTGCATTGTGAAACATAAACACAAGCACTTTCATTTGAGTGTAGAAATATAAGTAATACCTTTATTGATATATGAGGGATTTTTGTAGTTGTGAATTATAGTATTTGGCGAATAGTGACAACCAACCATTGTTAATTTAATATTGAAATAGCTAAAAAACTAAATTAAAATAGTAAATCGAGGGACAAAGCCATTAAGGAGTTGCGAGGGATTGTGTCACTTTAATTTTTTTATATAATAACATGGGCAAACTACATCATTCATCACTGAACTTTACTCTCTCTCCTATTTCACTCATTGTACTTTCAAATTTTCAGTTTACTCACTGAACTTTATAGACTTTCAATCTCTTCTATTTCCTCAGTTTTTTTGTGCTAAAAATAGGACAAGATCTTCACTTGTACCTGTCCAAAAAGAGGAACAAATTGAGGAAATATAAGAGATTGAAAGTCTCAAGTGATAAATATATAAACAATTTAAATATATTTTTTGTAAGGGTAAACTACAGCATTTATTACTGAACTTTACTCACTCTTCTATTTTACTAACAGTACTTTCAATTTTTTCAATTTACTCATTGAACTTTATAGATTGAATTTTTTTCACTCAACTTTGACATAGATTATTTTATTATATTTTATATGGCATGTCATATTTTTATTAATATTTTAATATCAAATATGATTAAAATAAAAACAAATTCAAAAATTCTAAATTATATCCTTAAATTTTAAAGCCAAACCCTAAATCCCAAATTATAATCCCAAACATCCTCACCCTTGATAGGTTAACCCTCCCACCAGAAGACGGCAGCTCATCGACAACCTCACCGGTGGCTCATCAACAGTGGCTCAAATTATAATCCCCACCACACCCTCACCTGACGATAACACCAAACCTTGAAATGAAAATGGCAACCACATGGATGTTATCTTCCAACAAAAACAACAAGAAGAAGGTGTTGTCGTGCTATCGTTAATAGAAGAAAATGCTTATATGCTACTGTTGAGAGAAGAATGTGCTATCCCTGAGAGAAGAAGGTGTTGTTGTAGGGTGAGGATTTTAATTTGGGGTTTAGGATTTGAGGTATAATTTGGAAATTTATGGTTTGTGTATATAATTTATTTTATACTCCTATATAATATTAAAATAATAATAAAAAATATGACATGTCATATACAAATTATAAAATAATCATGTCATCGTTAAGTAAAAAAATCAATCTGTAAAGTTCAGTGAATAAATTAAAAAAATTGAAAGTGCAATGAGTAAATTAGGAGAGAGTAAAGTTCAATAGTGAATGGTGTAGTCTACCCCTTTTGTAAATATTCTCACTGATATTTTTCTTACTAACAATAGGTTTTGAAGATTTAAGACTAAATGAAACCAGGATGACTATTGATGATTGATTAAAGATGGAACTCTCAAGAGGAAATTAAGAAATTAATATTTACTTTTATTATAATAAAATGTTTTTTATTTTATTTTTTGTAATTATTTTTTATTTTGTCAAACTGTTCTTATTAAAGAATGAATTCCTTTGTTTTTATGAAACTAATTTCAGATTTTATTGATTTTAATTTGAATTTTTTACTTGTAGGGTGTAAACCTATGATGCCTACTACATGAGAAGAAATGATTTTTTCATTTTGAAGGAACATTTTGCTTGACTTGGATTGCACTGATGGATGAATCTCTTTGATGTTGTAAACACTCATTTTTCATTCGGGACTCGTTTTAAAATTTTCATATTCTATCTACTATATAATGTTCATAATATATTTGGTATATATAATAGGTATTATTATATAGTATATATAGTATATAGTATTTATTATATAATATTTATATTATATAGTATTTCTATATATTTATATTTTATATTTTTATCTTATTTATATTATATATTATACAGTATATATATATATATTATAGTATGTTGTTATTATATAGTATTATATATAGTATTTCTATATTTATATTATTTTATAGTAGGTTATTATTATATAGTATTTATATATATATATATATATATATATTATAATATATAGTATAAATATATTATCATTATCGAATTATGTAATTTAGAATATATATATATTACGCATGATATTCATTATATATTATTATTATTTTATTTTTAATATTAAAAACTTTAATTTTGTAGGTCCAAGGTCTAGATCCAGCAAAGAATAAAGTTCAACCGAGCATGCAAGCCTAATCCAGCAAGCAAGCTCAGTGGGACCCCAACAATGAAGGCCCACGGTTCCAATCCAAATAGGCTAGGGTTTGGAAACCTAGCTATCATATCCTCGGCGTTGCATGACTCATAGCCATCAGATCAAGGCATAAATCAAGGGTTCATACTACATAACAGCTAGGGTTTTGGGACCCCAAGAGTTACAACATTTGCGTAGCCACACAAGGGTCGTTGGATCTAGTCCTTTGATCCAACGGTAGAAATTGCACCAGAAGAACCCAAAGGTCACCGTTGGCCAATTAACGGCGCATGAAGATAACGCGATGATGAGGTCACCATATACGCGACAGGTAGAGGCATTCTTCGTGCATTTTCATGAGAACACTTTTGGAAATATCTCAGAAAATGGAACAAATTGAATCGAATATTTCAGAAATAACAACCCAAATCAAAGATGGCAAGAGAATCAATTTAAATCATCAAACAAGGCAATAGTGATTGAATCCCAAATCAAATCGGAAGAAAAAGGAAATACATCTCTTTTTCGTCAATTATGGTATAAATAGAGATGTCAAATCTTTGGTTTTTAGGAAATAAACCACTCTCGAGCACTATATAAGTCCCTACAAAAAATGAAAAAGCATCAAGAAAAAACATTCAAATACGCACAAAAAATCACAAAAACCAAAAGGGAGAAAAGAGGCTTAGCTTCGGATTTTGCTTGGAGGAGAAATGGCCATCGAAAATTCGAAGATTCGCCATTGATAAAGGTAAATTCGAACCTTTTCTGGTACATTTACACCATCTTTTTGGGGTGTTTAAATGTTGTTTTCGTGTTCACGGGGTCGACAGGAGCAGTTTGGGTTAGATTTTAAATCTTTGACTACCGTGGGTGGTGGCCGGAGTGGCGGTCGATAAGGGGTTTGCTTGGGTTGAGGTCGTCGACTTTAGGAGAGGGGGAAGAGTGTTTTTTAGAGTATTGTTTGGTATTTTTTTTAAGGATGGGTGAAAAGTAAGTAAAAAAAAGGAAATAATGGGTTATTTATATGAGTGAATTTTGTGAAATTAGTAAAACATTAAATTATTTCTACAGTCCCTGTAAGTTTGATGTGTAATTTGTTTTGGTTATTACTTGTAATTTAACCCTTAAATTTTAGTTTAATTCAATTTAAGCCCTTTTTTATTTTATTCTTAGTCATTGTATTTCTATAAATTGGTACCTTGGTGTGGTAACGATCTTTCGGTTGGGCCCCGGAATTGGGCTTCGACTTGAAAAATGTGGATTGGATTTGCCACCGACCATTTTAAAACGAATTTAGGTAGGTCGGACACCATCTTACCTGATCTGCGTTTTTACCAGAAATGTGTCGGGTTCGGGAGTCGGTTACGATCAAGGAAGGATTAGCACCCTTGAACCGCCCTTTCGATATCAATTAATTTGCCGGTTGTCTTAGTTGCGAAAATTCAAAATTAAAATTAAAATTTAACAGACCCGATTCAAATTACTTACAATTTATTGATTTGAATACCTTTAAAAGATAAAAACGTTTGACTCGTAGCGGAGTATAAAATCGAATTAGGATAGCAAGTGTGCAAACGTGAGAATAATAAATAAAACAAGAAAAAATGGAAAATAACAAAACACGTAAAAAATAATAAAAAAAATAAAAATGAATAAAATGTTAAAAACAAAGACACAGATAAAGGGAAAATATTAATGGAGTAAAAAAATAAAAAAAAAAGTAAAAGAAATTAAAACGGAATAAAAATAATGTGT